GACTGAGTTCCCTGCAATATTAATATAATAAATTGATAATATAAATGTTTTTTTCATGATATAAAATGTTTAATAACAAAACTTACAGGTTGATGAGTTGTGGCTGTATATACTGATCTTGCGTGACCAGTTCTATATCTGGTCTAAATCCCAATAAGCAGTGTAAAAGGAAAACTTTGAATTTGATACGCAAAAAGACAAGAATATAAAAATATCAATATAATCCAATATAAAAATAATATAAAAACAGTGCGTACATGCGATCTTCCATCATAGCCAGCTGGTGCATTTCCATGCTAACCGATGGTATGGTGGTCAGAGAGATAAAAGCTTTATCCAAAGTTGATATGTGTACAAACTTTGAAGCATACTAGTATTTGTAAACGTGGTTGGAATAATTGAATCGTTTGTTAAACTTTCCCACCACACTGTGACATTCAGGCATGCATTTTACGACCAAAAGAAAGCATATTAAGGCTGTAATATAGCATAACACGAATGTAGTATAATAAATTATAACTAATAAACATTAATATCCACGATTTTCTACATAACTAACATTTTATCCTCTTCAAAGAAGAAATCATCTTCAAAGTCCATGCCCAGGCCAGTCATATTCGCTAATATCTGAAATATCGACGATTGTTATTTATACGTATCATTCTTTTTTCAATCTCTAGCTCAGTGTAAATGTAATGGGGATTATACAATGACTCCTTTTGCACCGTTAAATCGCTTAGTACACACATCAAATTGGTGCGAACTAATGACCTAGTTTACATCGTACACTTAATACGGGTACTAGTAGTAGTAGTAACTTTCTATTGAATTATCTTAATGTCGGCGATACGTGTAAACATATATATGATATGAATATTTGATTAATCATTTTGATACGTACTGTATGTATCAATTTGAGGTAATTATACACTTCCGCTAAAGCAGCTCCAAAATTATCAATAAAATTAAGCTTATTCGATAAGTTTTTACATGAAACGAAAGAATCTGGCAGTAACAAGCGTTGTTCTGCCCCGAGAACGGAGATGGGAGATATTAAGCGTTAAGTACAATGACTATCGAGGTTAGGAAATTTGTCATACCTGCGAAATACTGCGATGTGAACGCCGAACGTGTACTGCAGTTGCAGTCACATTTTCATGTTCTATTGTTGGATTCAGGGTGCTGTCCCATGATACGGAAATTACACCGCAACTGGATCCGATTTGCGTCGTACGACGCTCTGCAACCAATCAGAAAACAGGATTCCGATGATACGAAGCAAAATCCATCGGAATCCTGTTTTCTGATTGGTTGAAAAGTGTCGGATGCAGTGTGAATCCAGCAATATGGCCACATGTGCATGCGTTTTTAACATTTTTCGCTACCTTGTCATCGAGTATCATTTTAGGGCCTGAGCACAATAGAGGAACAGGAATTAGATATTAAGATTTTAACCTATTAAAAACTGATTACATCGGAATTACACGGTTTCTGATGGGTTGAAATCTTAAGATCTAATTCTTGTTTCTCTATTGTGCGCAGGCCCTTAGACTCACCAAGAGTAATAAAAAATTATTTTAATAAAAGACTACGAGTCACACTAAAATAGAATAATGATAATAGGATACTGAAAAATATCTTTAACAAAGTTTTCTAAATTTGTTTTATTACTTTTAATAGAACAGTTTTTGCCGGTATTTTCCGCGCCAAAATCTGTAAATATTGATTTTTACCACCATAGACTTTATAAAAAAAAAAATATATATGAAATTTTACTAACCCTGAAAGAAAATCATAACAAATATTCAGTGATTAATATAGCATGTATTAGCTACAGAGTATACATGATAACAATATTTAAAAAATGAGAATACAGTAAAAATTAATCATCCTATTCGATCGATATAACTAGTTCTATCTTAATCACAATCTATTATTTAATTACAGGTCTATTCGACTAGGATCAGGGATCGTGTTGGTCCATTCCTTTTATGTACAGTTACATTGTACATATAATGTAAATAATCAAACATTTTGATAAAAAAAAAAAACGTATACTTTTTTCCCAACCATAGAAAAGCGATCACGAGTAATAAGAGTTAGTTCTACTTTTCTTTCTTTTATTTGTATATGCATAATGTATGAAATAGTTAATGAAACATGCATAAAACATGTTTGATGTTTCTCTATATAGGATGAAAATATATTTCGTGATTCTGTTCTCTATGTATGTATATGTACACACGCATGCATGCGTACACACATACACACAGGATACATTTTAATCAATCAGGCAAATATTTTGAAAATATGCAATTTTATCAAAAATGGTTTTTGGAATATTACAACTTTTACTTGGAATGTTCTTTGATTGCATATTCTCAAAATATTTTATAATATAGGGTGTAACAAGCAACTATCAGGCTAGTTTTTTAAAAAAAGTGCCTTTTCTTGAAAAATGTTTCATACAAAAATTATAGGATTTTAAGTAGCGCACATTAGATAATAATATTAGTGTAATCTTGAATAGCGTTAAAAAGTAACAAGATAAAAATTACCTTGTAATGTTGCTTTGAATATTTTAACGAAAATCCCTAATTTTATTGTGTATTTTTATAGCTGATCTCGAGAGCTTTTCAAGGCACTTATAATAAAGATATTTTTCATAAAGTATTTTCTGAGTGATGAAACTGTTTCTATTAAAAAATTTCAAACTGATTTTTACGTTACATTGACAATGCAATCTAAGATTATATTAACATTACTATTTAATGCAACACTTAAAAGCTTACAATTTTGTCTGAAATATTCTTTCAAGAAAATGCAATTTTTCAAAAAACCAGATTGGTACGGTTACTTTGTTATATCTTGTATATATCAGAATTCTGTTTTTTGTACCGTATATTCAACAGAGTGAACTATAATTCTATTATATTTTATTCTCATTTTATCTGCTGATCAATAATATGTGCTAATAAATTCAGTCGATCTTTTATATAACATTTAATACAACTATTCCGTCGTTAAAAGAACCTGCTTTTGTCGGCGGATTTATTTTTAATAGACCGTCTTATTTAACAGTAACTATGTGTGCCGCTATTTGGATAATTACGAGGGGCATCTCAAAAGTAATAGCGAATTTGATTGGACGTACTAATGCGCACTAATGCATATTAAAGTTGTACAATGATTTAATTTGTGTAAAAGTAAAATGCAAATATTTCGAATTATAAAATACAGATTTTAATTAACACAAAAACATGTATTAAAGACTTCATGGTTTAATCCGCTTTTATATTTATATTAACATACATTTTTACGTCAATTTACGTACGACAGAAGTTTTACAGTGCACCAGTGTGCATTGAGTGTATCCAGTTAAACTTGCTACAAGTTTCCTTATCATGGAAAAAAAAACCGGTTACGCGAGTATGAAACGAAAGATCTTGATTATTCCTTTCATGAAATTACTTCTTCACAACAACAGACAAATGAAGTTAAAGTGGAACCGAAAAATTTTAAGAATAAGGCTTATGGTTCCTCTCGTATTATAATATCAGAGAAGGCTGTTTCATGAGTTCATCCTTTATTCCGATTCCGGAAGAAATCCAATGCTTATTACAGTTAGGAAAACAATTTTCATTACCTGATTATGATCGCAGAGATGTTGTTCGAGTTCATAAAAAATATTGAAAACAATATAAAAATAAATAAATTCAGTTCTGAACCAAAGTCTACAAATAGAAATTTATCTATCCTGATTTTGAAAATTTTTTTGTCCTTCAGACCTCAGAAAGTTGAAGTTAATAATAAATTAGCTTATCTAGTTAAATCTACGAAACAATTATATATCAAAGAAGAATCCGTGTGTTGTATTCACAAAAGCTAATGAAGGCAACATCACGGTAGTCTTAGATAATAATGAATACAAATAAAAAATTATGCAAATGCTTATTAGAAATTGTTAAAAGTGCATAAAGACAGATAATTGTATTATTACATAGATATGCGTATTTATAGGCTTGTTATAGACTTTGATTAAGATAACTTAAAATTGAGAATACCATTAATTCTATGCATGAAGCTTCACTTATTAATTATATGGCGTGTATCATTTGTCGAAAAAAAATTATATTTAGAAAAAGTTTATTTAAAACATTGCTGTATTTTTACTTAATTCAACAAAATTTTTGCTTAACTTACTGACAAAAAGATACTGAGGTTTTATGACCTCTTTGAAATAATTTGTTCAAAACAATATTGCAATTGTTTCGAAACATATCTCACTGTAAGAAGTTATCTAGTCAGAAAGTAAAAAAAAACTTTTTTTAGTTAATATAAAAAAAAGTAGAAATTGGGTACAATTTTACATAAAAAATATTAATATTGCAACACTTTTGATCTGAGGTAATTTCAAGATTAATTTTTCTTAAACCGCGCGAATTATAATTTTTTAAGTCCTATGTTTATGTGCTTTCTCAGATTAATAATTAAGATACAGATTAATCTTGATATGACTTTGAGAATACCAATCAAATTGAGATTATTATTTTGTCTTCTTCAAAACAAAATAATTTTTATTTAAAACATTTTTTGTTAAAATAATGTAAGAAGTAAGATATTTTAGCCATCTTATATAGGATCAATTAATTCTCGTGACAACGACCGTATGTGGATAGAGCGGACTTAGTCGAAAAGTTCTGTATTATTTTGCAATTTTCGCACAATACTTAATAAAATATTAATTTCTAAAGATCGTCGGAAAATCAAATTTCCTAGGAAAATACCCAGCAAACTCTAAATATTCTTGAAATATTCATAAAATGTTGCTGAAATCCCCAAAAAATATTCCAAGAATATTTCAAAATATTCCCGAATATTTACGTAAAAGAAACATTCAAATGTCGGTTAAAAATTTTATTTGTATATCGTTACTTATTCCGAGAATGTTCCATGTATATTCCGCAAAATTTTAATTTTTCCAAAAATTCCATGTCAAGTCGTCCGTGAATCAGTTTTTAAACTAAATTTTACTTTGGAAAATACATTTAATGTGACTTTCTCCAGCCGGATAGCCAAACTATATATATAAAGAAGCGGCTGAATACTGGATAATTGTCGGATATCCGTTGCATTTCTATTAACTATTATTACTATTATCCCTATTAACTATTACTATTATTATTATACGAAAATTGCAAAATGGTACAGGACTTTTCAAATCAGTTTAATCCGTTCTACTTGCATACAAGCGCTGTGTCAAAAAATTTGGGATACCATGTATATGTATATATGTATGCGCGCGCGCGCGCGCACATACACATTTTAATAGCGATTTTTTTTAATTTTTTAATTCTCCATTATCATCACGTTGTGCTTCTGGTTCTGACAATGGCAACCATTGTGCCGAAGCACCTTTTCCAGATAATACACGTTGAAACAACTCTTTTTGACACGAGCCGGATACTTCGCACTTACCTAAGAGATTACCATTCGCTCGCAGTACAGAAAATAGTAAGACACACTTCGGTAATATGTCGCTATTAACATCAAAGGTAAGAATATCATTCCAGACGGGAATAGTAGCCTCATGTTGTATACTCGATTTTTTCTTCTTAAGATTTTTACCATCTTGCATAAGTGATACCTAAACAATGTTCATCTTAAGTAAGAAAATTTTAGGACAAGTATCATACATATACATACCTTCACATATGAATTAGCGTTTGCGGGATCATCGAGAATGGGTAAATTTCTCGCCCTGACAATAATAATTGTCAGTTTCTCTATAGACACCTGATATGAAATAGAGACCATTAATTCACCCAGAGGTGGCGCTCTAAATCCACCCTCCACTCCATATCGCAAAACTGGTTGTACGATAGTGATCAAATTTGTACCGAGATCCGGCACGGAAGAAAGAGGAAGTTGTACATAGCCTAAACCACGATGTCTCGTAAACGCATCAAAATCATAGAGCAGGATTTCTAATGTTCTTCCAGCCAATGATGATACAGGCGTTATTTCAAAAACGAAATCTTCGTCGAATACTACAAAAAGATATTAGATATATAAAATATTTTAATGCTTTAAAGAGAATTGAGTCATTTTGCGATAATCCTGTAAAAATAACAGGAGGAAGACATTTACCAGGATTCAAAGTACGCCTGTGTATTGTAGTTTGCCACACATTGTTACGATCAGGTAACAAACGTATCTTGGCGTAAGGATCTGCGATGCCGCTCAATTCTCGAGCACGAAGATCATGTGCCTTTATAAAACGAAAAGAAATATAATTATTCCGATCTATATATTCAACGGTAATACTTAATGTGCATGAGAAGTAGATATAAAAAACGTATGAAAAATTATACCTCGATAAGTTTCACGGTAAGTATTCCAGCGTTAGTATCATACATCAATCCTAACTTTAATTCACCCCTAATTTCATCGGACGAAGAAGTTGAAGAGGAAGATGACAACTGTAGTACAAAATTATAATTACCTGTAGTAGTAATGCAATTATTGGTAAATGAAAAATTTAATGAAAATATAAACCTTGTTTCGTGAAGCTGACTCGATCTCGACACTATTCAATCTGGAGTGAGACCCATCCATGCTCCGTGGCGGTCTGACGATTATCATGCGTTTCTCAGATGCAATCAATGTGCCGTCCGGAATAGGCGGTGCAAGTGGACTCATTGGAGATGGGGAAATATCATCCGATTCTGAGAGATGTTGTATAACTGCGGAAGAAATTTTCAGATACACAAGATGGTTCACGTAACACGAAAATCGCAAATAATTAAAATAAGCTCTTTAATTGTTTCAAATAAAAGTCGTGTAGTTTGTGGGAGAAATAAAATGGTGTAGCATGTTCGAAAGATATTTCCAATTCAACTTTTTTTTCAAATGTCAGTCCCTACTTTCTTTTATAAATTCTTAAAGCTACTGAGTTTACAGTGTTTTCAAAACATTTAGCCAATTTAGCAAAAAAACCATTTAAAACATCTTTATCCATTTTATACTTAAAATGGATTCGAAAAACTCCTTTTACATTTTGCATTTTGAATATACTTTTTTAAATATTTTACATTTGGTCTTTTAAATAGAATTTGAAAAGCATTTTTGGCTAGAGTTTTTCTAGTAAAAGTTAGGACACTGTCTGGTGCGCACGCGCGTCTATCATCAATAGAGAACACACGTATGAGATAAAGTGAGAAAACAACAAACTACAATAAGCTATTTTACTCTATCTTACTATCGCTTTCGTTTCCTGAATATGGCGGAACCAATAAAAAAATCATCACTCGGTGACTTTACTCTTACTAGAGTAAATAGCTCTGGCTGATTCTTACAGTATGTCTCAGGTCTCAGCCTGATATTTCATGTATCATACAATAAGGCTTTTCAAACCTGTTGATTGGCTGTAGGACAGAAAGGCTGTCTCGGATCTATTTGTCCTACAGCGAATCATAATTTGTCTATTCTTCAGTTTGCGAAACTCTTTTTTGTAACTCTTTAATACAATTTTTAAAACACACGTATATACCTACCTCTTCTGGGAGAGTCACTGGCAATGCTATCAAATACGTGATCAGATTGCCATTCATCATCATCTGAATGACTATCATTACGTTTGATAATTTTATTATCCCGCGAAAGCGCGACACCAGCTAAAACATTCTTCGATGACTTAGCTGCCTCCTCGGCTCTATCCAACAAATCTTTTTCAAACCTGAAAAAAATTTTACTATTTATTCATTTTTCCGAATCTTTGAAACATTTTTCCATATCTTTCGTATTTTTCGAGATATTTGCCTGGGGCTATTAAAATGGGGGACACCTATTTTATGTTACACTCTAACAGAAAGAAAATACAAAGTTACATGCCAGTTGAGTGGTCCTCCAACCGAAGTAAGCAATCGGCGGCGACGTGCACAAATGGTATAGACAATCACTGCAGAGAGTGCCCCGGTAGCAGCTCCAACTGTGCTTAGAACTGCAACCACTCCGGCACCGTGAACATCCATTTTAATTATGAACCTATATTTATGAGACATTACAATCAAATTTGATTTTTCACAAGAAGTGATCTGTGACACCATAATTTGTGATGTATTGTCGTGTATAGATACATGATACTATTAAATAATCAAATTTGTATACAAAGTGGTGCTCCACCAACTTCTAAAATGTGTTCTAAAAATCATTTTAAGCAAAAAAGTTCATATACACTATAAATTAATTTGGCTCAATTTGAGATGAAGAATTTAATTATTGTCAGTATCAGTAATGCAAGTTTAACTCAGAACAAAATATATAATTTTTCGTAAACTATAGATTTTTCAATACCTCTTTTTTAATATTTTTTAAATGCAAAATAATTAGAAGAATTGTGTTAAGTATGCAAACAAGTTTATATAACTGCAACTTTATCTTAAAAAATAGCAATAACCTTGGAAAATAAATTTTTACGAAAATTGATTTTACTATTACTTGTCCCTTTCAAATCATACAACTTTTGTTCCAAACATTTTTTTTCATAAATTTAGCTATTTCTATGTCATTTCGTTTAATTAATAAGTTTCAGTTATTATTAATTAAAATATAATATTCTGCGTGCATGCACACGCACACGCAGTACTTTCTTTGCACGTGTATTCTAGTACATGCCCTTTAATACATATGTTTCGCTTTTTCTTTTTTCTTTTTCCTTCTTTCCGCCCCC